AATCAGATAAGAGCTGTGAAGGTACCATGTCCATGTAGGGCTGTATACTAAATATTGGCTTATTGCATTATCTGCTTTTGACATGCCCAGGTAGCTGAATGCAGAGCTCCATGCTCTTCATCTTGAGGGTTTTTGAAACTGGTATATACACAGTTATTTCTCTGAGATCTTCCCTAAGAGATACTACAGAAGGATGGAAGAAGATGAAGTTGGAAAATGACATGTGTGAAACATTACATATTGGCTGCCCCATCAAGGATAAGAAGTGGCTTCTGTTGCATTGCGAACAACCCTTAGTGGCCTGCAAATGAAATGCTGCTCCTTACCCCGTAAAGTAGGATGTGGACCACCCCTTACTCAAATGCTAGTTTACAGTGGCATGAAGGCAGTAACTTGTTGGATGCTTTCTGGAAGCTCGAGGGAATATCTACCATGGTCTCATCTATTAGTAAGCCTGAGAATATACATTCATTGTCCCCAAACCCATTGTGCTCTCATATCTACTCCCTGAAAACTGTATGCTAGATAGAACCTCTTCATAGTCATTTTGAATAGATGTTCTTAGAGCACTTCTCCATCCAACCTCATGTGACGTTTCTCAAAAACAAAAATTAAAAAAGCCAGAATGCGTTGCCTTGCTTTCTGAAGAGTTTGGCCTTTCCTGCATCCATTTCTTTTTTCTTTCTTTCTTTTAAGAGTTAGGGTTTCAATCTGTCGCCCAGGCTAGAGTGCAGTGGCATGATCATAGCTCACTGTAGCCTCAAACTCCTGAGCTCAAGTGATCTTCCCCCCTCAGCCTCCAGAGTAGCTGGGAATATAGGTGTGCACCACCAGTCCTGACTAATTTTAAAGGTTTTATTTTTTTAAGAGATAGTGTGTATTTTTAGAGACGGTATGTTGCCTAAGCTGGTCTAAAGCCATCTTCCTGCCTTAGCCTCCTGAGTTTCTGGGATTGTAGTTGTGAGCCACTGGGGCCAGCTCTCCTGCCTGCATTTCAACCCTTGGAAAATTATACAGAAAGATTTACCAGTTTATTTACTTATCTTCCTACAGCCTGGAACTAAGCCTGTGCCACCAGTAAACAAGGCCTCCAAAGCCTAAAGACCATCCTAACCCTACCCCATTCTTTGGAGTCATCAGAACTCAGTTTGAATCTTATTCCTGTCACTTAACTGATAGGCAGTTGAGCCAAGCTGAACCTCTGCTTCTTTGGCCTGGAAAGTGGAGAGAAGGATTCTGCTTCATTGTGTTCTCATCTCATCTATTACATGAGTCAGTGCACATAAAATCCCTAGCACATAGTAGATTCTAAACAATTACAGCTTCCTTTCCTAATCTTACAATTTCTTGACGACTTAAGGTCCCATGTTCATCATTTGTGTTTCTCCTGGATAGAAATAGAAGGAGGTAAAGGTGGAGGGAAACATCAAGTCTTTTGCTAATTCAGTATGGGCTCCATCTTACTTTTCACAGGGGTCCCACTTTTATTGTAGGTACAGTTTTTCTTTGTCCTGTTGCATCACTTTGGTGCTTAACAGGAAGCTCCAGATAGACTGATCATGGCTGAGACCTAGCTCCTTCACTGTGTGTATTTTCACACTGTATATGTTCTGGGTTCATCCTCTTTCATTTAAGCTTCATCCTTTTGAAGAAAGTGAAACTTCATCAGAATACCTACATAGATAAAATTCACATGTCATTGGGAAATCCAGTGCTTCAGTTTAGGGGTTCAAAAAGATGTCTAGCCGCAGGGCATCTGTCCAGTGGATGTGGAATACAGAAACCTGGGTTCATCCAAGGTTAAATAAGACAGAGAAACTTTTATTCTTACCCCAAGAATAAGCTCTCTTGGTCTCTGGAACCATTACCAGGGTCATTGGTTCATGCTTTTCTTTATATATTCACCTAGTATTCTTACCCCCATTCCTCTACAAGAAAGGATTTGAAGCAACTGTTTAACTTGTTCTATAGTGAAGTGGAGATTTACATGATACCTCCTGATTACTCATTAACCCCACAGGCAAAGATCTCAAGATGTCATTTTTGAGACAATGAGTGAAAGGACCTGATATGTAACCAAGTTAGGGCAGAACTGGAGTGAAATTTGTAAAACTGTGGATAGACCTGGTGATCCGCAGATGAGTGGAGCAAGCAGAAGATGGCCCTTGCTAGCCCCTTCTATAGCTTTCCCTCCTTTCTGTGGCTCTTGCCTCCTCTCTATAGTCCTCTTTTCCAAGTGACCAGTACTCTCCTTGTTCCCACTACCACCCATTAAACGACATCAAAAACATCTCCCACCCCACCCCAGACCCCAGGACTCATTCCTGAAGCTGCCCTCTCCAGGATGTATCCTGGTTTTGCCTCCGTCTTCTCAGCCTTGGGTAGACATTCTGTCCTGACTTGCTCTCCCTGACAAACCAGCCTATGAGAAAGGAAATTTTCTTATTGAGTACTACCCAAGTATCAGGCCCCATGTAGATAAAGTGATAGAGCTGAGCCTCTTAGAGGTTAAGTGACTTGCCCAGGTTCATGGTGCTAGGAAATGACAGCTCTTGAATTTCTACTCAGGCCTGTGTCATTCCAACCCTAAATTCCCTTGACTGTGCAGCTAAAAAAAAAAAAGGCTAAATTCTCCAGAGTCTTGCTAATTAAATAGACTTAATGGGTTGCCTGTCAGAATAATTTAATATTAAAAAGGTATTTCTGGACTTTAAAAATGTCTTAAGGATTTTTCAGTGGTGAAATTTTGGGGATAAAGTAGATTGGGAAGGGAAATATTTTGGGGTTGGGATGACTGATTACTCACTCATGTCACACATGCTAAGGAATGGCCTAGTATAGTAATACCTAAAACCATCTCTGTAACTAAGACTTGCTGTGTAGGTATCAGGAGAAATATTCTGCCTGCCTGACAAATGGATGTTTTTAAAGGGTCTAATGGAGGAAATGGAAAGCTTAGAAATGTAGTTCCGTATCAAGCGGGGGGGAGGGGTAAGATCAATCCTTATTCACATATGGATTGTGTGCAGGTGTTAGCTTTCCATTGATTGGTACCAATGATGTCTAAGATGCGTTAGCTTTGAGAGTACTAACAAGAGAAAAAAGGTTTGAGCAGACAAAGAAGATTGTGACCATCTTGGAGGCAGATAGGAAAATGGCCTTGCCAGGTCACCCTTTCCTGAGGATCAAACCCCAGAGTGTCTCTAAGTGCTTACAGGATGAGTGGGCCTGTCTGCATACTCATGTAATAAACAGAGACAGACCTCTGTAATCCACAAGAGACTGCCCAGAAATAAAGCATGGACCCCCATGATGATTTTAAGAGGCTGAGTAAGATGACCCTTTACTGATGGAATTAAAATGTGTGCTCCTAGAAGGCTGCCATTGAAAAGGTTCGAGATTAGCAGTGTTTGCTTTTTTCTAATTAAAAAATGGAATCACCTACGCATTTTAAAGGATGAACTTTAAGCCCTTGGCTCACGACATGAACAAATTGAGCAGTGAAACCTTAAGAAAAAGAGACCAAAATGGAACAAGGTAAAAAGTTGAAGTAAGAGCCCTAGCTTATACTAATTGTTATGAGGGAAATTGCTGAGAGAGAAAAGGACTGTACTTGACCACGCGTGTTGCATGGGGAAGCCTCTGAAACATGCACTCGGTGCCTGTAAAGATTTATTTCCAGCCACCGACTTTGCCGGCCTGTGAATGACAGAGTTTATTTTATTTTGTTTTTTAAATAAAAAGCCTCAGCCTAAGGAAATACTGTGCTCCCACAAGATGCCGAAGTATTGAAAGAACCATTCTGAGAGGGGGATGGAGGCAGAAGTGTATTTTCTAAGATTTTCCGATACTAAAACCCATTTACGACTGTTGAGAAAAATCTCTCTGACGGAGGATTTAGCTCTCACTAATCCTTAAGTGACTTGTTTTGACAGAGCCTTTATAGGAGATTTTCTCAGTAACTTTGGTTTGCTCTAAAGGAGCAATTACTGATTTGTCCTCCAGCTCCTCCTTTTTCCATTTTTTTTTCTTTTTTAATGTATGCCAGTTAATGAACTTCACGTATGTTCCAAAATAGCAAGTGAATCCGATCAGAACTGTTTACTGTAAAAATTCAGGAACCTTTGGATTTTCTTGGATCTTCCATTCGCTTTCTTGCCTCCGGGTGTCAAGGACCTGGATTTCATTTCGTGTGTCATGTGGCCTTCTCAGCAGATTCTTTGACTTGAGCTTGTGGATATCGAGCCCTACTTTCTATTTACACTGCACTTTCTCTACATAAAGACATTTTCTACTGCTTGAGGAAGAAACATGGGGACCCCGGGTTTTTAAGCCTTCTGGTGTTTGCTTTTGCTCAGACAGGCATTATCTTTTTAGAGGTGACTGTAGCAGTTGGAGCGCACTGCTCACCTCCCTGTTGAAGGCACTGCTCGATGCTGTGATGATGGGCCCTGGTGTCTGTGCGATTTTATTTCCCGCCCCGTCTGCTGTGCCTATGCAGGGATTTTTAAGTTGCGCCTGACATTCCCGCTTCCATATTTTAATGAAGTCCCACACCAGCAGCAGCCTGAAGATGTCTTTGCAAGCCCGGAGGTTCCCAAAGCGTCGTTCCCCAAGCCAGCAGCATCAGCTCCTGGGAACGTGCTAGAAATACAAATTCTCAGGCCTTGCCCCAGACCTGCAGAATCAGAAAGCCTAGGGAAGGGGGCCCAGCAATCTGTTTTCACAAACTCGCCAGGTGATTCTGAGGCGCACTAGCGTTGTTTGAGCAGCCGTTTTCTAGTCCCTTGCTCATCCTCCTGGAAGACTGCAAAGGAACCATCTTCCAAAATAACCACCACCTACTCCCTCAAAAATCCTCAGTTTGTGACTCCACACCCAGTTTTGCTTTGTGACATCGGAAGCCTCATCTGCGCAGTTAGATTTCTGGTCCTAATTTATGACTGTGTTCACTAATTTTTTTTTTTTTCTTAATGTCAGAAAACCGTGCCAGTTACAGGAGCATACTTAGGGTGTGGCGGGAGAGATTTATGACTTTTCACGAAAGTGTACAACACTCTAGACAAGCATTAACATATTGCGTTTTAAATTATTCTTGAGACTTTTTTGAAAGCCGCCTGCTTTAATCCTCTTGTCAGGGAGCTGCCGTGTTAAAAAATGATCGCTGAAGCGGCTTTGCCAGCTTCACATAAAAAGTGAGGCGGCGAGGGCTCCTCCCAGGAGGAACTCTGGCCGCGGGGGCCGCGTGGCCGGCGGAGGGAGTTTTTGGAGAACATGGCTGCTGACGAGAGGAGCATCATGGGAGGTGTCCGGGGTCAGCCGTCCGGTCTTCCGGCAGACGCTTGAGCGATCAACATGGCTGCTCGGCCGAGGTGGCAGCTGCTGTGGGCTGTGAAGAAGACGAAGGGACCCAGACGGGGGACTTGAGAGGTGTGGGTTGGGGTCCTCGCTTTCTCGCGGCAAGTTGCATAACCTTGGATGGGTCCATTAGCACATCTGACTTTTAGTTTCCTCATTTATAAAATAGAGGAGGTTATGCCAGGTGACCTTTCAGCTTTAAAATGGATGATTCTGGGATTTCTTCTCCCATCTGACTTCCTGGACTGTCCTTCCCCTTGTGTACGGGAGCAGCTGAATTTATTGATCCCCTAGAGGCTCTGTCACCCACTTCTTCCTTCCTTCAGTGCACCCCCTCCCCCCACTTTCCTTAGGAGCCCCTTTCTTAGAGGGCTTATACAAAATTTAAAATAAAATAAAAAAACACCCAGGCAAACGAATATAAGGGAATCTTCTCCTCTTTTCAGCCACTTGGAAATTCAACTGCATGTTGGCTGCTATGATTTCTTGTGGAAGGGTAAGGCGGGCACTTAAAGAAATAGAGAATCAGGGACGGTGGTGGGGAGGAGTTTCACCGGGGCGGGCGGCTGGGTGGGGAGCGACGTTGGTTGTCCAGAAACCCTACAGGGAAACTTGAAGATGTTTAATACCCTCTTCCTTCAGAAAATCAGGGCTCCCAGCTTAATCCCATTCCCTCTTGCCTTGTCCTCTGAAGAAACTGAGCTGCTAAAAACACAGTGGAGGTGAGACAAAGGACATGGCTGCTAATTGCTGTGGAGCATCCTGGGATAGGGGGTTTAGGGAATGTCCTATCATCAGCTTGCATTTGCTTCCAGTTCTGGGAATTCTCACGTCTTTGGTTAAAGCTGTGTCCTTGGGTAACCTGGTGAAGCAGGTCATTTGTTGTTGAAGCACATAAGAGGAGACACCCTGGTGACTCTCTTCAGCCTGCTTTGCTGGACTGAAGTTTAAAGGTTAGATGACCCTTTGTAAGCTGAGGCTATGCTGGGAGAATTCATCTCGAATCCCAAATTCTCACGGAAGCAGAGGGCAGTGGGAGAGGGGGTGGGCAGGCAAATGCTGCATGTTTCTCACCATTTAATGGCTCAGGTAAGTGCATTATAGAATCTAATACAGTGTCTCAGCTAAATTTATGACTGTGATGGTAATGTGACAACTTCTTGTCAGGCTGGGAGCATGCCAACTTTCCTTCCCTTTTACCTTGTAACCCCTTGAAACTGGAACCTACTGGAAAATTTCTTTCACAGTAAGATAGGGAAAGAGTTTATCTAATGAAACCATTCTAAGTATATTTCTTTGTCAGGAAAGTTTCAGCTTCCAGAGTGAGAGGAGTAAAGGATGAAGTTGGAAAAAGTGGCTTCAACTTCCTCTGCCTTCTCTCTCTGACAGAGATGTATGCATCCATTTTGATTGTATATTTGTGATATCAGGAGAGTCAGCTCAGAAGTCTTCATTTTAACCTGGGTAATAGACACTGGCTGTACTAACAGTGCTCACTTAAGAAAAAAAAAAAAAAAAGCATAAAGGTAGGGACTTTTGGAGGATCAGGGAGGAAAAAAACGTTAAGACACAGGTTCAGGTGAGTGGGTGTCCAAGCAAAATTGCAAAAGCTTGAAGTTTTTCCTCACTGGCTCCATCACTGTATAATTACCCTCCTCCCCTGGAAAAAGTTAAAAATATGTTAAGAGTTTCAATGTTCCAAATTTAGAATCTTTGGGAATCTTATTTAAAAGAAGTGCCTGGTTAGGAATCCCAAGACCTGGAATTCCTGAGTGTGCTGTTAACCAGCCTTGTAACACTGGGCAAGACAGTTCCCATGTTTCAGCCTCAGGTTCCTCATCTGCCTAATGAGGATGCTGGCCTCATCAGGATTGGCTAAACTTCAACCCACACCCTTAAGTGGCAGGCATCCTTAACTGACTGCAGCACTCCTTCCAATGAATTCTGGATGAGGCCTCAGAATCGTTCTCAACACAGCGCCTGCCCCAAACAACCATAATTCTTTTAGAGCTTTTCAAACATGAAACTTCTTCGCCATCTTCCTCTGGAGGAAGCTTGGAAGTTGGCAAGATATCATCAGAGCATGTAGGAGTGGTACTAAACCCACCCTGAAGGTTTAGGAAGCGAGGAAGGCATCCAGGAGGCAGTAACTATAAAGCTAAATCTTAGAAAATGAGAAACATTTTTAGGAGAAGGGAGGAAGGATTTTCTTCACACAAAGAACAGAAAGATCAAAGGAAAGAAGCTAGAAAACAGTATCCAGAGTAGGCTGCACTTATAATTTGGTGGTGTAAAGGAGTCACGTGCAGAATAGCAGGAAATGAGGCTGGAAAGACAGACAGAGGCCAGAGCACAGTGAGCACTGGAGGCCAGGCTTTGGAAGTGCAGTTCGCTGACTGTCCTAGTCTTCATGCCCTTGCCTTGCCACCTACTTACTGGCCGATGGTTTCTGAGTCTCTGTCTCTTGCTGCCCATTTGACTCCCCAGCTGTTCCTGGCTCTTCTCTAGAGCTAATATTGTTCTCCTCATGACTGTTGTCTATGTGGAGTACCAGGCGCTGAGCCTTGACCTGAGGGTCTTTCTGGATGCTTCTCTGTTTCTCCATACTCAGAGCAGCTGCCCATCAGTTTCTCTACTTTGTATGTACATCTGACTCTTCACTGTCCCCTCACCCTCTCCCACTGCACACGTGCACCCACACAATATGCACGCACACGTGCACATGCGTACACCCACATATCAGATCTGAAGTTTACATCAAGGGTTCTTTGGAAATATTACATAATGACAGCTTTCTTCAGATAAAGTTTGGGCCAGTTAGAAAAAGAAAAGTGGGCTCATTTGCAGGATCATATTGGCTCACACATGGTAGAGGGTCCTTTTGAGGCTCTAATGGGCAGGCAGCTGATTCTGACAGCAGAATTCTGGGTCCTTGATCTTCCCAAGACATCTCCCCCCTGTTTTGAACATTAGCTGTGGTGTGGGTCCTTCCCACGGAGAACTGTGAATCCTATTCAGCCGCCTCCTTATGATTTGGACATGAACAGGGAGCTTTCTCTGTCTACTTAATTCCCTTTGAAAGCTTTCTCGTCCCACTACTGGGCACTTCAGAGAGAGCACTGCATTAATATCTTCTGCTCTGGTTTCAACTTGGTATGGTTTTGTGATCTTAAAATAGATGGAATTACCACGGCAAGCATTGTTCTGCCTTGAACTTAAAGTCTCAAGAGCAAGTACTTCTAAAAAAGTTAATCCTTTCTTATTTGCAAGGATTCTGGCCTGTAGTTTACAAAGAAATATGCTAAATTATTTATAATCCAGGATTACTGCAATGCCAAAGATTTCCTTGCATAACATCCCAGCATCACTAAAATGACACAAAAAGAACAGCCCTTGGTCACACCTTATCTACGCTGCTCTCTGCAGTCCCTGTGAAGGGGCCCCGAGCAGGGCAATGGTTGCTGATGCCCTGACCACAGGAACATATGTTCTTCTCTGCAGCATCATCTTCCATTGTAGGGGGGAAACCCCGCAAGTGCCGTGGCGAGGGTCTAAAGCCTCAGCCTGTTCCCATATAAATATTAATTTAGAAAAGAATTAGAAATGTAGGCACATAGATATTCCTTTATATAATCACATATAATCTTATAGTTACTTATAACCATAAAGATACATACTCAGTGTAACTTTTACTACTGACTATCAGGTTATGAGGCATGGAACTGAGGTGACATTGTGAACAAAGTGATCCTAAGGCAAGACACTGTAAGCCCTCTGTCACACCCACATGAAGTCTGCCTGGGCTGTGCGGCAGCGCCAGCGCTGTGAAAGTGCCCTCTGTTTAGCCAGCTAGGGAAGGAGATGTCCAACATGGCCAAGATGCCTCCTTCCTGGAGAAGTCAGGAGAAAACTCCACTTCTCCAAACTCTTGTGGCAAGGCCTGATGGCTGTCAGGGAGGCCCGCAGACATCCGGGGGCTTAACCGTCTCTGTGTGATGCTGTGCTTCGGTGGTCACATTCCATGTCTGCTCTCATGCCTGCGTCTGCACCTGGTTTCTCTTTCTCTTAAAAGATAAGAATTAATAATAGTAACATAATCTTAGTTTCCTTGATATTTCTGACAAACATGCGAAGAGCGCTGACGCATTAGGTTTTCCCCTCGCCTCGGCTACTTGGAAGTCCTGGGCCCCCTACCTTCCAGACACGTGATTTACCTGACCCTGTCACTGACCACCATTACCTCACCCTGCCTTCCCTGCCCACTGCTCTGTACTCAATAAAAGAGTGTCCAGTCACCTGGGGCCACTGCAGGTCTCCGCATTTTGGTTGGCAGTGGACCCCCGAGCCCAAACTCTCTTTTCTCTCTCTGTGTGTCTGTGTCTTTCATTTCTACAGTTTCTGGTCTCCGCACCAGCAGGGAGGGGCTCACAGAACCCTATAGGGCTGGACCCTATATTCCATGGTTTATGTGCTCACGGTTCAGCTGCTGAGGCCTCCAGGGCAAGAGAAAAGCTGAGATGGTGTGGACCAGTCGTAAACCTCTTGATGGCCAGCATGCAATTTCTTTCTTATTTAAAATCTGTGTACCCTGCATTCTTCTGAGAGGAGTTGGTACGGCCTGTAGTTAAAGAATAGCATTAAATGGGACATTTTAGAAAGATGCAGTGTTCCAGGCCCACCTCTACTACTAACTTTGAGAAAACTCATTGAGCTCTCAATTTTCCCAAATGTAAAATAGGGGGGTTAGAATAAATCATCGTGAAAGTGCCTTCAGCTCAAATATCAGGTGACTTTAAACAAGTGCTGATATGATGCAGGGATGTGTATGTGCATAGCACAGACAATTGGAAAATAAGACAGTGCCCTCTAAGAGACTTACTGTCTTTCCACAAAGATAGACTCTGAGAATTCTAACAGGGCCTACTTTCCATAGGGAACCTTCCAGAGTACACGAATACATATATGATACATTTTTCTCTATTTTCAAAATTGACAAATTACTTGATGCTGTTTAATAATCTCTTATTCTTTGTGTGTCAAAAGTAATTTTATATTTTTAAGGTATTTTTATGTCTGTTGCCATCCAAAAGAGTTGTTCTGATTTATGTTTCCAACGGTAGTGTGTATTAATTTCTGTGCATGAGTTCATACATAGAAATTTAACTCTGTTATAAATTTAACTCTGCTAATGGGCAAAGGTAAAGGAGAGGTGGTGGAAACTGTGTTGTTCTGGTTTTGGTCTGTTGCCTTTCAACATTTTAACTTGGGAGATTTTGTATCTCTGCCTGCAAGACAGGCTGGAGCTAAGTTCGAGGGGCGTCGGTGCCTCCCAGGCGTCCCTCCCGCACAGCACAGCCCTCATTTCTGCTCACCACGAGGCCTCTGATACTCTTCTCTCCAACTGTCATTCTCCCCAACT